AAATAATGAGAGCTAAAGTTTCCATCATGACTTATGAAATATCAAACCACAGGTTGAAGATTAACCACAGCTCATAAGCTACTGGCATGATAAATGTATTAAGAAAAATAATGAGAGCTAAAGTTTCCATCATGACTTGTGAAATATCAAACCACAGGTTGAAGATTAACCACAGCTCATAAGCTACTGGCATGATAAATGTATTAAGAAAAATAATGAGAGCTAAGGTTTCCATCATGACTTGTGAAATATCAAACCACAGGTTGAAGATTAACCACAGCTCATAAGCTACTGGCATGATAAAAGTATTAGGAAAAATAATGAGAGCTAAGGTTTCCATCATGAATTGTGAAATATCAAACCACAGCTCATAAGCTACTGGCATGATAAAAGTATTAAGAAAAATAATGAGAGCTAAAGTTTCCATCATGACTTGTGAAATATCAAACTACAGGTTGAAGATTAACTACAGCTCACAAGCTACTGGCATGATAAAAGAGCTGTTTTTTGTTTTTTATAATAACCATTTTAATCACTTACAGCCAGAAACTGGGCCAGTTTTTCTTCCTTATGTTGCTTCACCTTTAACCTTTCTAAAGCTATCGATTGCTTACTACAAAACATAGAAGCTGCTTTCTTTAGTCTTTCTCCGGAAGAGCCATCAAACTGAAACATAAAACAATGAATGAAAATTGGCTCCAAAAGTAAAACGACTGCATTAAGTTGTTTTATTCAATGTAAACTAAATAAATGTAACTTTAGCACCCTAATATTACTTTGAGTTTTTATCTCTCTTCAAGGTCTTAAGTTAGTTCACAATAAAAAGGTATGGCCTATAAATAAACACAATTATTAAACAGACAAAAAAAACCTAGAGCGTACATTCTTATAAATTTACTTGAATATATATTGCCAGAAATACACAGTTAAACTTTTTCCTCTACAACCAAATTACCCTCTCATTATTATTTTAAGTTAAAAAAGTACACCTGTAAAGAAAGATGTAGATTTATTAGAGGTTACCATTTGTAACACCATTTCTCCAATATCACCAATTACTGGCTCTTCTTGATGCCGAGTTTTCATCAATTTGTTGAAGCCAGTATGTATTTCCAACATTTCTTCCAGGTTGGGAAATAAGAGTTGAAGCAGATCTATAGGAAGTAGCTGTTCTTGCATTAGAGGTCGAAAGAACAACCTGTCGAGCACCTTGAGGTTTCGAACATGAGTTTGTTCAGTATGGAACAGTTCTGCAAGACAAAAGCATGAAAGTTGTAATATGGACAATATATATATATATGTAACAATAACAATAAGAGAGATGTTCAAAAGTCTTCTGATATACTACAATAAAATTCTAACCTGAAACACATTTTCAACAACCATCTGGCCTTCTAGTTTATAGTCATATCATGCAGTAAATTTATGCAAGCTTTATTTTAGTGTTTGTTTTTCACTTCAGATCAAAACCTTATCTATGTGTTACAGAAGAACCCAATTTCATGTTCAAGTGATGTTTTCAAACCTGCCTTAAAGTTTTTCCTTTTATCTCTGTACACAAAAATTCTAATGAACAAAATTTTAAAAAACAACACCAAACTGAAAGCAAGTTCTAAACATGCATTATCAAATATACTGTATACAATTTTAACATGTTAAAATTTATGTAGTTAATGATTTGGCTTGGATTTTTTTAAATTAGTAGATTCGTGATAGGAAAGTTTACTTGGTATGTACCCAATATTTGTACAGATCACTATTATTAACTGGGTGGTAGCAACTCGGTATTTGATCCAGCATCAGTTTCAAGATTAGTAATAAAACACATTAGAAGTATAAACTTTGACATGCTCTGGAATTTCACAATTTTAATTTCAACAGGAAATACTTATTGGTATGGACACTTGTAGTACTCAAGTTAGAAAAGTAATTATCAAGTTTCTTATAGTGTTTACTGGAACATTTTACTTGTCTTACTGATCCAGTAATCAACTACTGTAATTCCAAATTACTTTGGTGCGTGTCTGTACATATATGTACATGTATATATATATGTAAATATCTGTGTGTGTGTGTGTGTGTGTGTGTGTGTTTGTTTGAAAATAACTTTTCTGGATTAGCTCCCAGTAATTCATCTCCAAATATGTTATCAACTTAAAGAACATAAAACTACAATATAAAGTTCCTGACAGAATCCAGTATTCCACATTGAAGTGACACCAGACAGTGACACTTTTTTAACTTTAACAGCTCAGTATCATAAGAGTGAAAGTATCAGTAAAACAGGTTAAATGCAGTTTCTTTTATTTTTCAAAAGCTGCATACATTAATTTCAGTATGAGCACAAAATTATTGTAAATAATAAAGTTACATACAAAAGAACAAAAATATATGGTTATTTAAAAACAAGGTTTTTTTTTTACCATTTATCACATCCTGTCGTTTCTTTTCCTTTGGTTCCATAAGACGCAACTCCTCCATGCCAACATTTTCCTGCCACTTCGGTTGGTCTATTTCTGCTTCCAGGTCTGAGTCATTGTAGTGAAAGAAAGTTGGTGATAACACATATGATGAAAGAATTCCAGCACAAGGACTGAAGTTTGTAATAAAGTCCAATGGGGTTCCCGAATGACCTCGATGAACTATATCCATAGGAGTGCATGGATATTCCAAATTTCTGTTTATGTTGAATAAAACAATTTAGAAACAAGTCTTATAAATTAAATTCAATAAGTGTTATTTTACTGTAATCAGACTGATTTTAATCATTGTCAAAATAATAATTCACATAAAATGTACATTTTTAACAAACAAACATTGTCTTAATTTCATATCATTGTCCGAGTAAAATTGGAACCATCAAAATTAGATAATGTTCTTTGTTGTTCTTAATAACAGAATTGGAAGTTTTTTTTCCAAGTATTCTATTGTTGACACAGGCAACTTTCACCATGAAACAGAGTTAATTAAAGCCTTATCATAACTTATATATTTTGACTGTTGGCCAGTGTGTACATGCATGTCAAGATTCTCCCTATTGCTCCAGCAGTTAATATATAATGGTGCAAAATTTGGGGGAAACTGAAACAAGCGATTGTTTAAGTGTTTCTGACAAAGTATAATTCAGGTCACAGAAGCTTTAGTAAGCTGTGATGTATACATCTTTCCAGCTGTTACCTTTGCTACACACTTTAGTTATTCTCTAACAGCAAAGTATAATGTTTTTGTTTATCTAGCCTATTTCCTGGAAGTTAGAACATTCAACTACAGGATTAAAGTATATGCATTAACTTAGTAAACGACAAAAATAGATTTGTTACCAAAACATTGTACAATAGTCTAGAGGATTAATTTCCACCTACAAATAATTCGTCATCAACTTCGTCATGTTGTTCCCAAAAGGGAAACAACAAACATACACGTTTTCATATGGTGACCTTACAGTTATAACATAACTATGACATTGATAATATTAACTAATTAAAAATCACACTTATAACGACAGTACAAGGTTTTTTTACTAAAACAGAAAACAAGTGATAAAATTATTTTTAACCTAACATGCAAAGTTCCGTGCAATAAAAATTATATTTTTACTTCAAAATATTTTCAATCCAAGAAAAAACACCTTTTCTTTTTTTATAAATATTCCATTACGTATACATAAACCTAATAACGTTAACTTTGCACAAATGTAATACTAATAGTTGTTTTTATATCTAAATTAAACCAGATCTAGTTGAATAGGAATTTTATGAAGGTATTATCTTACTTTTTCCCCATTAAACTTTCTCGCGGATTGATGAACTAGAATAAAAAAAATTTACCTGAACATTTGTCTTAATAGTTATAAGTTTTACTTATGCGAGTACAACTGAAACTACCAGCAGGAGTAAATATCACACGGTCTTTCAGCTTTATCCGTTCGAATACAGCGACCTGACATGCATGTCGGAACGTTCAAAACATTAAGGGGTGGACAGTCGAAAATTGTTTAGCTGACAGTCAATAATAACGGTTTACAATACTATTCAATTTTGTTTAGCTGACAGTCAATAATAACGGTTTACTATACTATTCAATTTTGTTTAGCTGACAGTCAATAATAACGGTTTACAATACCATTCAATTTTGTTTAGCTGACAGTCAATAATAACGGTTTACTATATTATTCAATTTTGTTTACCTGACAGTCAATAATAACGATTTACAATTTTATTCAATTTTGTTTAGCTGACAGTCAATAATAACGGTTTACAATATTATTCAATTTTGTTTAGCTGACAGTCAATAATAACGGTTTACTATATTATTCAATTTTGTTTAGCTGATAGTCAATAATAACGATTTACAATTTTATTCAGTTTTGTTAAGCTGACAGTCAATAATAACGGTTTACAATATTATTCAATTTTGTTTAGCTGATAGTCAATAATAACGATTTACAATTTTATTCAGTTTTGTTAAGCTGACAGTCAATAATAACGGTTTACAATATTATTCAATTTTGTTTACCTGACAGTCAATAATAACGGTTTACCATATTATTCAATTTTGTTTACCTGACAGTCAATAATAACGGTTTACCATATTATTCAATTTCACACAATGACAATTATTGTAGAAAGTATACAAAGAAAATACAAATTGTTTTCTGTTTACAACAAACTCGAATTTTCACGTGTGTTTACATCGTCGACTCATCGTGTATATTTGATATGGCAGGGATTTCAAAATGTTTTTTTCTACATACCGACTGCACAGAAAAAAACTAAATACAAGCTGTTGTCAGCAAAATATTGTATGACCAATGATATTCAAGATCTCCAATATAAAATACTGGGGTACGTGCTCCACGTGTATGTTGAATGGTAATTAATGTTTTAATGCAATTCCTTAATTAACGAGTAGTGGTAGTAGTTACTGCTGTTGATCGATCTATTAAACTCAAAGATCCCCCCTGAAATGCAGGAAAATAAAAAGTTATCATACAAGATAGGAAGAACCCGTATCAAGCAGTAGCTAACGAGAGAGAGAGAACTTCGGATAAATTAAATATATACAAGTACAGTAAAACACCCCTGTTCCAGACTCCCTGATTGCACTTGTTCGTTTGTTATTAATAAGCGCAAAACTATACGATGGGCTATTTGTATTGTGCCCGCTAGGGGTACTAAAGTTAGTATGCGTTAGGATTATTTGCAATTTCTATTGAAGTGAGCATTTAATGGAGCAAATCGCTATTTCTCAGTACGCGGCGCTACTATATGTATAATGTCGTCTGTTTGATGTTAAGCGCAAAGCTGTATAAACAACTGTTTGTGCACTGTCCACTGTGGGTATCGAAATCCGATTTCTGGCGTTATAAGCCCTCCATTAAAAAATAAATATTTAGATATATGCAAAACTAAAAAGTAGTGATAATTATTCTTACTTGGGATATTAAAAGATTAAATATTTTATTTCTCTATGTTTTCAATATTCTTGAACAAAATACTAGCTCTGAAGCGAACAGTAGTTTTTATTTTAATACAACTAGAGAATATTCAATAATTTAATACAAAAATACGGTTACATACACAATCCAAACGATATAGAATTCAGTGGCCAATATCTTCAAGGAAGTATTGAACATTTAACACAGAATTCAGTGGTCAAGATCTTCAAGGAAGTATAGAACATTTAACACAGAATTCAGTGGTCAAGATCTTCAAGGAACTATAGAACATTTAACACGGAATTCAGTGGTCAAGATCTTCAAGGAACTATAGAACATTTAACACAGAACTCGGTGGTCAAGATCTTCAAGGAACTATAAAACATTTAACACAGAATTCAGTGGTCAAGATATTCAAGGAACTACAGAACATTTAACACAGAATTCAGTGGTCAAGATCTTCAAGGAACTATAGAACATTTAACATAGAACTCGGTGTTTAAGATCTTCAAGGAACTATAGAACATTTAACACAGAACTCGGTGGTCAAGATATTCAAGGAACTACAGAACATTTAACACAGAATTCAGTGGTCAAGATCTTCAAGGAACTATAGAACATTTAACACGGAATTCAGTGGTCAAGATCTTCAAGGAACTACAGAACATTTAACACGGAATTCAGTGGTCAAGATCTTCAAGGTACTACAGAACGTTTAACATAGTTCTATGCTGTATTCAGAGACTGCAAAATATTTTCAATAATTAACTTATTTTTTGGAATAATTTATATTAATCCTATTCAAAAGTATAAAACTCACAGTTTCTGTTTTTACCAGTTACCTCCAAAGTACTCGTGTGTTAATTTCTTACATGAAAGCTTTGTACATGAAAACCGATGTCGAATTGTTATATGATTTAAATCGTATTCTTTGTATATTTTGCTAATGAGTACTTTTAACCACAAAAGGCTATATAATTTACAAAGTTGATACACGTGGTTTGGTTTTCATGTTTAATCATCATTAATAACCTAAAAATACTTTAAGTATTTGGTTAAAGTGTAACATACATCAAAATCAAAGAAACCGCATATTTTCCACTAGCATATGAGGCCTACTTTATTTATTTGGTACGCTCTTCCAAGTAGCACTGACGAGCCCTGAATACGGTGAAACTATTCTGTTGTAGCGAACCAAAATATATATTAGGCCTCTACGTCATCTTTTCTTCACTAAAGTTCAAGCTTGGTGAAGAAACGAAGTAAAAAAATATAAGTATTTTGATACATTAACACACATTTCTAGGACAAATAGTTTCCGTTGAAAGGTAAAGGTCTGGCCAAACCAAACAAAAATATTATAAATTTCTTACATATTTTTACAGAACGTATTACTTGTAGAAAAATATATAACTCTGTGTATTGTTTTTCAGTCAAACATATTATAACATTAAGCCTTGTCATAAACTAGATTTGGGGCTAATTATTTATTTAATTTTAAATACCAAACTTCATTTCCCTCTGCCATCCAGGCTGTGGTATAACAGCATATCTCAAGATACAGCACAGATAGCACACTTTGTAGCTTTGTGCTTAACAACAAATAAACATTTCCCTCTGCCACCCAGGCTGTGGTATAACAGCATGTCTCCATACACAGCACAGATAGTTCACTGTGTAGCTTCGTGCTTAACAACAAATAAACATTTCCCTCTGCCACCCAGGCTGTGGTATAACAGCATGTCTCCATACACAGCACAGATAGTTCACTGTGTAGCTTTGTGCTTAACAACAAATAAACATTTCCCTCTGCCACCCAGGCTATAGTATAACAGCATGTCTCAACACACACAGCACAGATAGTTCACTTTGTAGCTTTACGCTTAACAACAAACAAGCATTTCCCTCTGCCACCCAGGCTGTGGTATAACAGCATGTCTCTATACACAGCACAGGTAGCACACTTTGTAGCTTCGTGCTTAACAACAAATAAACATTTCCCTCAGCCATCCAGACTGTGGTATTACAGCATGTCTCCATACACACAGCACAGATAGTTCACTGTGTAGCTTCGTGCTTAGAAACAAGCAAGTATTTCCTTTCTAAAAGTACATACATTGTCCATGTAATACTTTTACCACAGTTCGATCCACGTGGTGAACAAGTGGTCGCAAAATTCAGTTATCTGTCCAAGGACTTCTACTTAAAAGTATCAATCAACCCAAGTTACAACGAATGCCATAAATAGAAAGAATGTCTGAGCTCCCACGTCATCAAGAGCTATATATAGAGTACCTAACTGACGTCATGATACAAAACTCGTGGTGTAATAGAACAAGAGTTCGCTTTTCTGAGAAGTTTTGACGCATTTTTTTAAATTAAGAGGTTCAGATTTTGTGAGTGGATGTACCTAAAGCATCGCAAGGGCGTAGGTTGTACCTAAGATAGCATTTTTTTAATAGTCCAAACCTTGGTTGGGTAAACAGATATAAATAAACTTCCATAAACGCTGCACGAATCTTTAGTTCATGTATCATTCAAAGTTAACACATGGGCGATAAGAAAAAGTTCAAACACGTGTTTTAACAAGATTAAAAGTTCCAGTTTTGTTTTAACTACACACACTTTATTCATTTGAAATATTAAAATAGTTAGAACAAAATTAATCAACAAACCTTGCTGAGAGATTTGAATTTAAGGAGCTTCCAGAGCAGTTGAGGTTTGTTACAGGTTTATCGTCTTCGTCGCTACATTAAAATAATTATAAAATATCATTAGTATTTACTCAAAATACTTGCATTTATTAAATAAAGAAGAAAAAAAAACAGTTTCGGTACTACTTTAGTCGATAACGCTTGAGCGTTAGTATGACATTATCTTAAGGGAACACAAACGTTTCACTCAAAACTTCTAATAACATGTTACTTCAACTATCTTGCAAGCACACATGCTACGTACAACAGTAAATTGTTGAAGCTATAACAAACAATACTAGCAGTCAAATCATATCGACTTGGAAGGGTTAATTGTACTTTAGAAAAACAATTTGCATATACTAATGCATTCTGTTTTATACGAACCAGTTACGCCATGGGCAGCGAAATCCTTGTACAACAGAGCACTTAGGGCTTCGAACCTCAAATTTTCATACGCTATAGTTACTAGACCCGGCATGACCAGGTCGTTAGGGCGCTCGACTCGCAATCTGTGGGTCGCGGATTCGAATCCCCGTCCCACCAAACATGCTCGCACTTTCAGCCGTGGGGTCGTTATAATGTGACGGTCAATCCCACTATTCGTTGGTAAAAAGAGTAGCCCAAGAGTTGGCGGTGGGTGGTGATGACTAGTTGCCTTCCCTCTAGTCTTTCACTGCTAAATTAGGGACGGCTAGCGCAGATAGCCCTCTTGTAGCTTTGCGCGAAATTCAAAATAAACAAACAAGCTATAGTTACTAAAGAGAACCTTCCGAACCACATAAAGAAAAGACAGTGCGATGAAGCAATCCCTTTCAACCACATGTCTGTGAGATTCCCCTTACGTCTGCTCAGACGAAATGCTTAATCATAATGTGACAGTAGAGAGTCTGCCAGAGGTGCATGTCACATAAAATTGACCTTGCCGTCCTTCACACAAGCTTATAACAATGGGTATTACGTTGACGGTCAATCACGCACCATAATAATAATATTAATCAGGAAAACTTTAAATTCTTAAATACCAAGTTAAATGAAGTTTTGAAATATAATTTCAAAGCAGATTGGTAATTAATGTTATTTTCTCTTCAAAAAATACATACAAATTTCAAGACAAATAACGTTAACAATTATGGGGTTTTTTGTTAGTGCAAAGCTACACCATGGGCTATCTGTACTGTGTACACTAAAAAGAAGTCCATAAACCTATCACTGACCCACCAGGGAAACGTTAAATTAAAATATACCAACTGATAGTATCAATGTTGACTGGAACAGAAATAAGTACGCAAATTTACAGAATTTTAATGAGTAAAATATTTATACATTTACAACAGAGAGTGTGTTCTTTTATAGCAAAGCCACATCGGGCTATCTACTGTGTCCTCCGAGGAGAATCGAACCTCTTATTTTAGAGTTGCAAATCCACAGACTTACCACTGTTCCACCGGAGGACATTTACAAACCTCTCGTAAAAACATAATCTAAGTTCATACAGATCATTAAGCTTACAAAAATTCTGTTTGTTCTTCATATTATATATATATATATATAAATATCTTTAAAAAACACCATTCTTATTTGTATGGCCTGACATAGCCTGGTGGTTATGGCTCGGGTTCGAATCCCGTCACCGAACATGCTAGCCTTTTCAGCCGTGGGGGGTGTTATAATGGGACGGTCAATCACATTATTCGTTGGTAAAGAGTAGCCAAAAATTTGGTGTTCGGTGAGGTTGAATAGCTACCTTCCCTCCAGTTTATCACTGAAAAGTAGTCCTCAAGTAGCTTTGCGCGAAATTTATTTAAAATACAAATTTACTTGTCCCTCTAGTGGCTCAGCAGTATATCTGCGGACTTACAACGCTAGAAACCGGGTTTCGATACCCGTGGTGGGTAGAGCACAGATAGCCCTTTGTGTAGCTTTGTGCTTAACTAGAAACAAACAAAACATATACCTTTTTGATGTGGGTAAATTTGGGTCACTTCTGTTCATAACTGAATGTTTGTTTTCTTTCTATAAATGAAGACACAGATCAAACTTTACACAATCAGATTTGACACCATCAATATAGAACTTTTAAAAATACATAATGAGCAAATTAAGATTATATGAACACATCTTCTTAGGAAAAAATTGAAAGCACCAAAATAATCGTTAGGGTTAAAAGTTTTGAAATATGTAACATTTCTATATATCTCTCATTGAGTGCAATCAAATCAAATCACTGTAAATACAACACTGAAATATAAACAAATTTATCTCATCTGGTGGCGTTTCGATTAACTTCGTTAGGCTTGACAGGCTAATAAAATGAATGACAGTTATATATTTATGATATTTGCGTTTTCTTGTGAATGTATGGCTCGAGACAATATAACAATGGACAGAAATACTGAAGTGAAACTATATAGCTTTAAAATGTTTGATGTGGTTATAACAATGGACAGAAATACTGAAGTTAAACTATATATCAAACATTTTAACGTTAATAGTTTCACTTCAGTATTTCTGTCCATTGTTATAACCACTGAAACTATGTAACGTTAAAAGCTCTACAACGTTAAAATGTCTGATGTGGTAGGGTCATTGAGGAAAAGTTAAAAGTTTCTGTGACTTATGCGAGGTATAGGGAAGATAAATGGGTGATAAGTCATAACTATAGATGTTCTGGATGGTGTACGTTAAACACCAATACTTTTACAGATAACAACTGAATTGATGAGACGCATGATAAAATCTGAAACACGGTCCTTACAGCACAAAGTAAGTTCTTGTTGACCACAGTGAAACGGTAACCACAATAATTTGTTGTAATACTTCGCCTATACTTGTTTTTCCCTGTGTCGCTAGGATATTAAAAATTGTACATTATCTACATACAAAATTAGAGCTGACATCCAATCTACCCTCCACCCCTCCAGTGCCTCAGCGTTAAATCTGAAAGCTTAAAACGCTAAAACGCTGTATTCGATACCCGTGGCGAGCACAGCACAGATAGCAAATTGTGTAGGTTTGTGCTTAACAACAAATAAACAAACATATATTCCGTAACAACAAATAGACAAACATATATTCTGTAACAACAAATAGACAAACATATATTCCGTAACAACAAATAAACAAACATATATTCCGTAACAACAAATAGACAAACATATATTCTGTAACAACAAATAGACAAACATATATTCCGTAACAACAAATAAACAAACATATATTCCGTAACAACAAATAAACAAACATATATATTCCGTAACAACAAATAGACAAACATATATCCCGTAACAACAAATAGACAAACATATATTCCGTAACAACAAATAGACAAACATATATTCCGTAACAACAAATAAACAAACATATATTCCGTAACAACAAATAAACAAACATATATTCCGTAACAACAAATAAACAAACATATATTCCGTAACAACAAATAGACAAACATATATTCCGTAACAACAAATAGACAAACATATATTCCGTAACAACAAATAAACAAACATATATTCCGTAACAACAAATAAACAACAAATATTCCGTAACAACATACAGACAAACATATATTCCGTAACAACAAATAGACAAACATATATTCCGTAACAACAAATAGACAAACATATATTCCGTAACAACAAATAAACAACATATAATCCGTAACAACAAAAA